CCTCTTAAAGCATAACATTGATATTATTGTAACCGAAATGCAAGACACGATATACACATGGAGTGGAAAAATACCTCCTAATGAAATTCGTGAATAATTGCATTGCATTTATATTTTGAATGTGTAATTAATTAATAATAATAACGCGCAAACATTCACAGCCCCGCACTAGGGAAACCCTGTGTCGCGGGTGCCATGGACACACACGTAGACAACCACAAATTACACCCACGAGAGAAATAAATGTAGGCCATACAAATATTTGTCCCGGCACGGGAATCGACCCGGGACCTCTGCGTGGCATGGTAACCGTTCGGCCACGGAGACAGTTGTGTGTAATATCCGGGGGTATATTAATACTCCCGTACCCAAAATTCGAGCCACCTCGCATTTTTGTTGCAAAAGGCTATAATTCAAAAATGGTGTTATCATCGAAGAAAAAGTTGTCCCCTGATTTTGCAAATCCAAATTTCCAACAAGGACTTATTAAAAAGACTGCGTAATAGTTTTTGATCAATCGGACATTGTTTAAGCTTAGGGCACTTAATACTAAAAATGCGTGGCGGCTCGAATTACGTCTCCGGAAGTGAATAGAAAAAAACAAAATTTGTCAAATGACACTATTGTGAAGCGGACTAAATAGATTTAAATATAATGTCCACTTGTCATGCTCTAAAAGTACGTCAATAACCTGACACACGGGGAGCAAAATGTGTCATTTAATCCCTAGAGAGTAAAAAGTACCTAGTTTTTTATTTACTTCGAGTGATCTAGACAAACTCAAACAACCAGTACTTGTTCTAGTTATTGCTAGAAAGTAAAAGTTCAATAAGTGAAACAATACAATTTCTCGCAGCAAAAACTTAACACTTAGACAAATTCTTAAGGTCCGTTATTTCGTTCCGTGCGTTAATTGGCGTCTGGCACGGCTTGCTGGAGGACGTTAGTTCGAATACAGCCAAATCAAAGGATTTTTTTCTAAGTCTTCGATCTTTGTGAGCTGTGAAGGTACCCGGCTGAGCGAAGAAATAGATTTCTCACAGATGGCGTTACGGCAAATAAGGTATAAGGCATATAGTAAATATACCTTCTAGTCCATTGACTTACAATTATATGGACGTCGGGTCCGCGCTAAAAAGTGTTCGAACTTATAGGGCTTTAAAATCGTATACAGAGCGTCATTCACGCTTTAGTCTTCGTTTGTTCGACTGACAGCGAATCAAGCAAAATTAGACAGTACTGCGATGACTTTACAATTTAAATTCAACGTTTTAGCTTTTTCATATTCCTTTACATGTCACTACGTTTAAATAGGTTGACTTGGGACAATTTTTTCGTAGTTTTGGATTAGACCCGTCGTCCATTTATTTGTAAGTCAATGTTCTAGTCAGTAAATTTGTAAAATTATATTTTTATACAACTCGCGCTAAAATTGGGCCAGTTAACTCTTATGACGAACAAAATAAAGTTTTAATGCTCTTGGCTAATATTTGATTCTTTTTACAACTTTACAATGATATACGCAATGATAGTTCTTGGTGAGTCTACAGTAGTCAGAATCTCTTTTGCCCATAATTATTACTCAAGTTATAGAAAAAAAATGTTAGCCTTGTGATTAATTCTTTTTGGTTGCTTTTTTAATAATTGTTCTTGCGACCCTCATCAGATGGCGCTTACCATATTTTAAACCGAGAGTTTCCCACACAAAATCTCACGGAATGTTTTGGGGCTCCATATATTGGAACAATATCGAACTACGCAGTTGAAAGGCGTTAGCTATGAATTTGAAATATATTGTTAAAGTAAAGAACACATTGAGCTTGTCTCTTTGATCTTTGTAGCGTTCTATTACAAGCGACACATGAGTTGCATTTAAATCATAAGCATTGATGTGCAAGTTATTCTTTTTAAAAGTTTACTAGCTAGGAGAACCGTTATATTTGGCATAATTTAAAAGATATTTCAGTTTTGTACAATAACGGATAAATGCAGAAAAAAAATCTAAATTGTTAAATTGTATTTACAATATGGCCGATTTAAAGTTTTTTTACATTTTACTTGTCAAACAAAATCGTAAGGCTGAATGTCTTCAAGTTGCAAACGCTTTTTAATTTTGCTCGAAATACGAAGAAACTCTTACGCATGCATAATTACAAAACGTCCGATATTTTTGTGAAATTGTTACGAAACTTCTTGTTTCTTTGTTTTTCTTTGTAAACACATAAATTTTAATATTTGAAGTGATTTGTTATGTGTACTCCGTCCAATGTTTCTAGTGATGGCGAGTTACAAATAAAACTTAAATGATTAAGCTCGGATAATTTTCTTGTTACCAAGTGACGGGACGATTAAGTCGTGCGCCTGGTGGTAAGCGACACACCTGTTTATAGCAGTTGCAGTGCGACTCAGAGCTTTAACTCAAATATTTGAGGGGCATTGCCACTATGCCTGTCACCCTGAGAGATAAGTTGACTAGTCCCAGGCGACTGTAATTTCACCAGCAACCTTCAAACCGGAACACAGTAATTTTACGGCTCTACTAGTTCCGAGTCGCCTATGAACTATACGCAACCCCTTTTTTGAAAGAATTTCGTATAACGGTCGCGCTAGATCACACACAAGTACCTACTCCCAATCTCTCATATCCAGTTCATGCTTCAAGATACCACAAATGGTATTGCGAGGGTTGTGTACAATCTTCACGAGCATGCGTATAGGCTCTTTGTAAATCTCTTGGCATCTTGGGTACCTCCATTATCTTTCCGACTTTTTTGTCCCGTGTTTGGTCTTACTTTTTGTAATAATTAACAATTATAAAAAAAAATTTGAAAGAGTGTGGGCACACTCTTCTTGTCTTTTGCAACATATTTAATTGCGTAGGTACTCTCGCATACTCAAGTCACCCATTTGAGAATAAAATTCTATATTACTAACCCCATACGTCGCAAGTGACCAGAATCATTTGCAACTTGACCTCTTGACAAGCTTTTGAGCGATTTAGTACAAAGACAGTTTCCAAAACATTTGTTTAATTTGAAAATATCAGAAAGTTTTAAGCAAATACTTAAAAATGTTCAGACTTGTGTAGTTTTTTATTATTTATCAATATTTTTTTATTATTTTTCCGCACTACAATCTCCACTTCCTAGCACTATAAAATGACACTGAAGTTAGTTGAAGTAAACCTAGTCCGCACACGCTAAGTGAGGCAAATTGAAGCGCTCCCAATGGACCTACAGAAGCGGGCGTTAGTGCTCAAGATCAACTTGCACCGCGAACAGTTCCAGAATTTTAGCTAAAAATGGCGAAATGTGCGGGAAATGAGTGTAAAAATACGTAAGACAAGCATAATATAGATACCAACATCATATTCCACAAGGAAGTAACGCGTTTCACCTTGTATTTTTATGTAAATATTCACTAAAACCGAAAATTAACCTACTACTAAAACTAGCCTACATGAATTTGATTTTTGCCTCACTTGTGACAGTTCGTTTGACATGAAACTATCATTCTTTGCGTTATTATTCTAAGGTTCTAACATTATAATATGCTTACTTTAAGCGCAGCATAGTACGGAAAATCAATGTAAGGTTAAAGTAAGATTGTTTTAAGAGGTGAGGTAGGACCCCAGAACAGTGTAAATAAAGTACTCTGGCGTCAAGGTTATTGAAATCCCGTGACGTTTAAATTGACAACTGGATTGTAATAACCTTTTCAGGTCTAGTATTTTTTTAACAGACTTTAAAAAAGAGGAAGAGGTTCTCATTCGATTTTTTTGTGTACCATATGCGTTTAGTTCGACATTTTTGAACCGGTTTCTACATTCTTCCGGCTTCTAAGAGTGGGAAATTAAGGGTTGAATTTGGTTTATTTGATTTCACCCACTTTCCGGTAACCGGGTTTCAATAAAAGTTGTCAAATAGATACAATTCCACGAAGTTTTTGGTTAGGTTTTTTTTAAAAAACAGTTATAATTTTAATACTGAAATTTCCTTGTTTAGAAAAAGCTCAAATTCATAACGCAACCCTTTGCATTTTTGTACCTGTTCTTATAGGTACAAATAAATCTTAGCTTGTATTTATATTTGACGAACTCTGTGATTCGACGGTCAGCGTTGTGGCCGCTAGATGAAACTTGTACTACAGGGATTTCCTTTGTTTGAAAAAAAGTTTATTTACATATTAATTGACAACCACAGCTTTATGACTCGTTATTAATATTATAGAAATATATTTTATTTTGAATTTTTAAATACGAGAGGGGCCGCCGCGGTCAAAGACTTCAAATAAACAAGAGCTTCTTGTGAAAGCCCTTTGAGTAGCACTGCTACTGTTATGGACATGCGTGACGTTTAATACAAGGTGCACAATTTGTTTTTTCCGCCACTAAACATCATAAAAAAATCATTCGTGCTATTATTTTTACTTAACCTAATGTTCACTTCTATCAGGAAATTTTTAGCACTTCTTCCGATTTACATTGTTTTCTATTAAATAATTTTATTTATTGAGCTTTGGCTAATGAGCCATTAGCTTAAACAGGTAAAATAAGAAACTGAAAACGTAATAACACTTAAACTAAAAATTTAATTTGTGCAGTAACTGTACTACAAAAACTTGCCAGTTTTTTTTGCATAGTTTTCAATCATTTATTAATTTATTTTATGTTTGCCATTTTGCAGTAGCAGAAGCTAATACCATATCAAAAAATAAAATCAAAATCTAATGTATACTCAAGATTAGGCGTGCCAATGATGTATAAATTTATTTTTTATTCCGTCCTCTGAGTTTATAAATTTATCTAAAAGTTACAAGAAAAAATCACCAAGACTTGGCTGTATTGTTTTATACTTTTGCTTTTTGTTTCTCCCATGTATTTCATAGACAAAGGCTCTACCCAATTCTACCCTTAGACTTATAGGATGGAAAAAAAGATTCCATAGTCTAAGCCCTTAGAGGATGGAAATTCCGTAGTCTAAGGTTCTATCATACAGCCCCTTGATATTCCTTATTTATTTTTTATGCATTATGCCTCGTTTAGAGTTTCAACTCCGGGTAAAGTTTCGAAATTCTCTGACGTAAAGTTGACGTGGTCTAAAAAAAGCAATTGTTATTTTGATTTAATTTTGAACCAAAGACGAAACTGAACAATTTAATTATTAATTACATGCTTAGTGTTGCGCATAGGAAACATGGGCAAGCACTTCGGAAACCTGGCATTTCTTCGTGGAATTGTTTACTATAAGCTGTCGCCACATGAACAGAAGGCATTCGGATCAGCCGCCATCGAAGGACTTGCCAACTTTGTACCCAGGACTGCGGCAACGATCATGTACTGGTTACCACGTGAGTGAAGTTAGCTTTGCGAACAAAACCGCACGAAGCTCATTCACAATGTAACACGATTTTTGTTTCTGGGTTGTCAATCGTCATCATGATACCATGCATACGTTCAGAGAGCACACATACAACAACAAATTCAAACAGCTCTTCCGTTGCAACGTGCGGATTTGGGGGCGGGGGAGCTGGGTGCATCGGAGATAAGAAATATGTGATGGGTATTTGCAACCGACTTCAAAAAAGGAGAAGGTTCTCCATTCTGTATTTCTTTTTTTTGTGTACGTACGCGATATCTCGGAATTTGTGAACCGGTTTTGATGATTCTTTTTTTTGTTGGAAAGAGGGTAGCTCAGTATTACTCCCATTTAAATTCGAAGACAATATTCCACCTCCGAGGGTGGTAAACTAGGGGATGAATCCGCTTTCGTGCACTTTCCTTGGTTTTAAAGCCGGTTTTTTTATATAAAAAAATAATCACACTATACAAAATAAAGTAATGATTAAAAATAAGCACAACATGCAACAATTCAACAAGAAATTATTTGTATAAAACACAGTCATTTACAGTAATTGATACATTTAATAGCATAGGATATATTATATTATATAACCTGAGCCTATGTACATGTACAACACAATGGTAGTCGGAGATACCTATACTAATAATAGGAAATAAAACATTTTTTTTTAATCTTTAGATGAGATGTTTTGATTCTTTCAAATAAACCACCACTCGTGATCACGAAAAAACAAATTGCTTATAACAGATTTAGATCTAATAAAATTAGAACTCGATGTATTAAAAACATTACATTTATAAGAAAACGTTTGCAATTTAAAAGAAGACGAATCTTCGCCTTACTTTCTCAAACTCTTCTCTCTCTCTCTCTCTCTTCAATCTTCGTGTGCCATCTTCTAATGAAGGTCGGCGAACATAATGGCAATCTAAACTTTGGACACTGCAGCTCTGAATAATGATCGGGTACTCCTGTTGAACCACTGGCGCAAATTTCTGAGCCAGGATATTCTCCTTCTTTTTACACCTCTCTGTATATACAACATATACAACAGTTTTCCCTTCATATTCTCACACTGACTTTTACCCATTCTGAAAGTAAAGCATCTAAATTAAAACCCTAGATAAGAAATTTAAAATAAATAGAATGTTTTCCATGAATAATCACCCAGAGTTTGAGACATTAAGGCATCGAAATGGTAGTATCACAGCTACTCAAGTAAATAATAAGCTTTCGCAGCTTTTTGGTGGCGAGGTAACGATGCACCCTGTATATCCGTCTTTCTATTGTAGAAATTCGCGAGTTTCTCCGCAAAGCGATATACAAATAACAACTCAACTTGTCGACCTCGGTGGCCCAGTGGTTAACAATTCGATTACCGGTACAATCAATTTGAGAATTAACTAACTATAAGTCTGGATGTTCGGGGTGTTCTATCTAATTATAATACGGGGAATATTATACTTTAAACCAATGTAATTGGTGTTATAGTTCTCTGACACATTGTTATTATCAGCCGTTTGAACGCCATTCAGAATTCTGATATTATTATTGACATCAGATGGACCATTTATTATCATCATCTTAATCGAAACACATTGGTAGAAGACCCTTTATTTATCAGATAATTAAAACTAAAATAAAAAGAGTTTAGAGTAAGTAGTAAATCCGAAACAAAACGAAAAACAACTACCGAAAAAGTAGCATCTTGGCAACACTTAGGTGAGCGTGGGGGAATAGGAGCCTACTAAGGAAAATTGACAATAAAAGTCATAATTTATACAATTGAAATTTTTATTTGTTATGAACGTACGCTTCACATATCTGGGTACTAGATAATCACAGAAAAAATATGAAACTAAAATAAAATATTTGGTTAAAACAAAAAACTAAAACATGTCATTCGCTTCCATTACCCCACAGTTCGGGAAATGGAATCCGGTAAGAATCCCGTATGTCAAAAAGGGGGCCATTACATACAATCAGTCTGAAAAAAAATAAAATTAAAGTAATAAAATATATAAGTTAAAAAGTAATGAATTACACGAGAAAGTGTCAAAGGAATATCCAGTGAATATTGCAATGGGGTTAGGAGAGCCAAATAGCTCTCATTACCCGCGTAACATCGAATTGAAAAAGGTATGAAACAGTAAAAACATTTCTATTTTTATTGTCATTTCAAGCATAACTTCTGAAACTTGATAGATATGGTGACATAGCTAGTGTAAATACAATGTAGTATCTATGCATTTTAATGCTTACCTGGGATGATGACATTTAGCAAATGCTATAAGCGCGGAGCGAAAAACACGCAATCATCTCTTAATAAACGCGGGGTTCGGCGGGGGCGACCACGGGACTCGAACCTTGTAGAACGTTAACGAAGACATAGGAGTGCCGTTTGCACAAATACGAGCATCGGGAAAGTCCAGCTTAACACCGCCCCGCAGGCTCCCAATACCCCACGTTCCCCTAAACACAACTTATTTAGCACACAAGGCACTAGTACACTTCATTTCACTGGTCAACTTATTCTGCACATAAATATTTTGCACAAAATGTAGTAAATGATTTTAAAACATTTATATTATAATAATATTTCTTGTTAATAAGTGGAAAATTTTAGGCACGCCGGTGGAAATCGTGTTACACGGACACTTCGCAACTGGTTCAGAGTTAAATATGATATTTAAAAGTTTTGTACCAAATTGCAATCCTGCTAAGTTGTAAAGTAACAAGAAAGACTTACTGCTCATAATTTGCTAATAACTTTCTTATTTAATATAATTATTTACTTAATACAAAAAGCGACAGGGATGTGGGTGGATAGATAAGTCATCCTAGGAGAGTTACGACGCCTTTAAATATAATAAGAGTTATTTGTATAATGCTAACCATTGACTTACAAATAAATTAGCGACAGACGCAGTATTGTCAGTGGCGTTGTACAGGTCAGGGTTCCTGCAAATATCAGCGGTCGCATCCGTGGATAATCTGCATAAATTAAACTATCCATATCCTCAGCTGTTGTTTTTAAAACCCAAAAACAAGAACAGTTAAACAACTTAAAACAAATGTGGGCAACGACGGTCTTATCGCTGCGAGCGATTTCTTCCAGACAACCTTTGAGGTAGAGGAAAGCTAATCGGAGCGGGCGACGTAGTGTGCCAATTTACAAATAAAAATGTAAAAAAACTTTACTACATAAGTAAGTTAGGCAGATTGATTCTTTGGTGTCACACGTCGCAAAATTATTGAAAAATTTTTGTATTAAAATTAGTAAGAAACTTTCACATGCAGATACATTTAGTAAGGATTTACATTTTTCATAAATTAAATCAGCTTAAAAACTGCATCAACAACAACCCTGGGGTAGGGACACGCAGGACGCTACAAAAGAAATGCTTTATCTGGGGAGAAACACCACATATACATGCGCGCCCCAAGCTATAACCCCACTTTGGCCGGCTTCCACCAGCCGGGTCCGTAAACTGTTCAAAGATTTCCAAGTTTCCCAAGGTAGATCATGCCCAGGAGAGAGGTGCTCCTAAGGCGGAACGAGTGATGCCGTGAGGTATCTGTCCTTCCAAAGAACTCGGTCAGTTTCCCCGTCCCGAATGAATGGCGACTCTAGTCTCTGGAACAACAAAGCCATTAAAGCCCTTTGATAAATGTATATCGTATACAGTTTTCTTGTGTTTTTTTTTGTATCGTGAAAATTTATAGGAAGCGTGTTTCTACACCGTATACTAATCAGTATACTATATCCATTGACTTACGATTATATGGACGTCGGGTCCGCGCTAAAAAGTATCCGAACATATAGGGCGTTAAAATCGTATACAGAGCGTCATTCACGCTCTAGTCTGCGTTTGTTCGACTGACAGCGAAGCAAGCGAAATTAGACACTACTGCGATGACATTACAATTTAAATTCAACGTTTTAGCTTTTTCATATTCCTCTACATGTCACTACGTTTAAATAGGTTGACTTGGGACATTTTTTTCGTAGTATTTGTATTAGACCCGTCGTCCATTTATTTGTAAGTCAACGACTATATCCTTAATTTATTATATGTGTTTTCCAAATTGATTGATTCAAGGCTGGAGGTTGTATCTTAACAATAACTTTTGTTCTATGACTATAGGCACTTAAATAGATCGCTATAAATGCTGATAACTCTGTGCAAAGCCCAGAAGCGGGGGTGGGGCTCGTCGGGGAGAACGCTTGCACATTTGAACTTGCCGTTTTACTACCAAATACAGAAAGAGTCAGATATAGTGCATGTTTCGTAAAAAGTCTGATGTTAGTAATATAGTCCTGGGAGATAGTATTTAAAAAAAAACCTGTGTGTTGTGAACTTTTAACGATTAAGTTGCCAACTAGTTTTCCTACTGGGCCACCACCGCAGTGCATTAGTCTATGTTGTTATGCAAAAGGCTAAATAACAGAATCGAATTACTGCACATAGTTTATTGCACGCAATTGCTTACACGATAAACGCAAATACAATACATATTAAGAAAAGAAACTATGTGACACTTGGGCGTGTTGTTGTTTTATAAGGGTCCGTGCAAAATGAGATTTCACAATGTTTTGGTGGATTTCAGCGTTTGTTCTTGGCGCGGTTACGTATTTCTACATAGAGGAAATGTATAGGCTCAGTAAACGAAAGAATCCACTGGACTACCAATTCGAAGTAGACCCCAATCCCCCTATAGTCTGCAGAAGGGCGGTGGAAAGAGGTGGCGGGGGCCGAGGGTCACCTGATCCAGCAGTGGATCCAAATACCGCATGCGATCCGGACCCGGCGTCAACTTCCGATCCGACGAAAAAAAAATCCAAATAAAAAACAGAACGCGATGTACCCAAAATACAAGAAAGAAGTTTTGTTTAACATACACGTTTGTGGTGGCGTGTTTTCGACTTGATGAAAATTGTTTAAATAATACATTGTCAATAAATGTTTTTTTTTCTACGTCGAATTATTTTATTATAAATAAATATTACTATTCTGCCAGCATGGACGTAAAACTGTAATAAATGTATGAAAGGCGTGAAATTAAAATATACTTTACATTTCTCCAGCTGAATATGTGCAATGTAACGTTTCGCGCCGGAGTGCATTTGACTAGAGTGCTACGATATCTGCAGGAAAATAATGGCCGCCACCTCTACACGTTTGTCTCTCTCTTTGCTGACAATTAGCACCCACTTTCTCGAGGAAACAATACAAAATACAATTTCAATTCAATTATTTTCCTCATTCATGATAAGTTTCGTTAAATGTTTTCGAAGTGGGGTTACGAAAGTTTTTTGTTGAAATTTAAATAGTTTGTAACATACCCGGCCATTGTTAGCCGCGTGTTGTATAATTTAGTATTTTGCGACCAAAACTAGGTCTTTCTTGTAACAAAAGGATATTGTTTCGGTACAATTAGCAATGCAATCAACATAGATAAGTGAATGTTTGCATTATTCAAGTACACTTTGAAAAATGTAACGATTATTTAGCGCACTTGACGAGTGCAGCGAACTGTATTAATGCCGTTAGTTTTACTTTTAACTTGGTCACGTAGTTTACGTATTTTAATGCCCCGCACACATAAGCAATATGCGTATATAATATAAACAATAAATTACATAGAAATATTAATTTACTTTAATGTCTTTTCATTTGTTTTAATTAAATATTTACTTGTTGCACTTCATAAACATGTGAATAAAATTACTACATTAAATTGTTCCAGACTTTTGCTAATTAGATATACTAACCTAACTTGCCTGTAGCAGGTGCTTGGGCAGAAAAAGCTTTTAATTCTTCCATGCACGGGTTCTTAAGTAGGTGATATGATAAAGAAGAACTGATTGCCGCTGAATAAAAATCAAATTCATGTTGTCGTTTGAGCTATTATTTAGTAGTACTAGAGCTCCTTGTGATAGTTCTGCCTCCTTGTCTATACGGTAGGCCTATGACTTGTTAAAATATTGCCTGCCGTCCAAAGAGTGTCACGGCGAAAATAAGTCTTCACTAGAGTCGTAGATATATCTACAACTCAGTACTGCAATGAATATCCTTAGCACTAAAAACGTAGCCAGTCAATAAAAAGTAAATAAAAGAATTTAATTCTTTTGTTCAAATGTTATATAAAGAATAAGTATGTAAAATAAATAAAGAACACTGGTCTAGGAACTTTATCTTTTATTCTAGTTGTCTTTTCGACTTCAAAGTGTAGTCCTTACATGTGTATATTATTTTGGCAATTTGAACAACTCGTAGAACCATAGACCGAAATTGGAAAATTGCGGAACGACAAAAAAGACTCGGCTGCAAAGGATTATGCATTACATTGCCTTCGCGGAAATTCCGCGCGTAATGATTAATAACACACTAAAATTACATCAACACGCACACATCAGAGCATAAAAATATTCAAGAACAAACACGTAAGGCAATAATTAAACCAGCCCCACATCCCTGGATTGTTAATCAAGATGCCATTGTAAACATTTTTGCTTGGATGTCTATAAATATTGAGGCACTACCCTGCTAAAGGGACACACAGAAAACGCAGTAGAGCTCCTTGTGAGTTCGTCCAGGTAAATACTGCCACCTTACCTATTTCTGCGCTCAAAGCTGTAATGTGAGCATTTTGAAGGGTGCTGGTGAAATTGCAGCCACACGGGACTTTTTAACTAATGTCTCAGGGTGATGAGAGCACGATCTGAGGTAATGCACCTCAGATCTTTGCGATTTAAAGCTCTGAGTGGCACTGCAACTGTTATGAATACGCGTGTCGCTTATCACCAGGCGCACGGCTTGTTCGTCCCGTCATAAATAAAACATGCGTTTAAAATAACCTCGAGCGGTAGCAGGTAAAATGATCTGTTTACTAATCGAGATTCTAATAATGTTAAGACGAATGAATAAAAGTATAAATGTAATGTCTAAATCAATTTTACCACATTATTTGCATTACTACAACACTTGCAAGTACAATAGTAACAAAAAAATAACCTACCCATTATAAACATTGAAACTAATATTGGAAACATTTGATTGGCTACAACTTTGAATTCTTGATAACCAATGAAATAAAATATAAATATATATTGTTTTTGAACACTTTAAACGATAAGTTGTATTTAAATTCTCCAAGTGCTTTTGAAAAATGTTTATAAATGTCAGGAAGATAATCTGAACTTGTGGAAGCGTTAATAGGGGTTTGAGACTATTCGATAATGGCCATTTACTAGAGCCCCAAGCCTGTTAATTTAAAATCATCTTGGCTGCATGTCGATAGAATGTCAGTGGCAAGATTTTGTACGCTTGGTGTTCTGCTAAAAATTAAGAGTACATAGTGTCTTGCCAGTGGCTAGCCATCGAGCTACTTTTGCCATTCTTTGATATTCAGCTCCATGTCCATGGCACGTCGATGACGTAGTCATCTTGAATGAAACAAACATTAAGACATGTTTAGTAATTTCTATTTTAATTTTAGTAAGACAACATCGACCGTTAGGGATTGATTGAATGAATGCCATCGTTGCCACTCCACTGACACTGTATTGAAAATTTGTAGAATAGAGGCCCTGAAATACGTACTAATTGTTTTCATGTAAAGCCGTCTCTTAGCTATGTGGAAGGAGGAGAAGAGTTGTTTGGAAAAGATTTGATTAATGCAATTTGTTTTTCCTTTGGTGACTGTTCACAACATAACAATGAGTGCTATTCAATTATTCGAGACACCCGGATTATAGACGATGACGGCGATGACAAACTGTTCTGTGTACCGTTTAGGCTCTCGGGTTTCTCTCAGAGAAAAGTTTTAAGGAGATTGATATCATAACTGTGGCATCACAGTACATTTACTCAAATATTTTATATGCCCGTAAAACTATACATAATTTCAATAAGAAAGAATATATCCATAACATTAACCTTAGAGCTAAGTCCAAACGCATGGTACCACGATTTCGTTTATGTTTTTACAATAAGATTCCGGAGCATATAATAAGATTATCATTTTCTAAGTTTAAAAACTACGTTAAAAATATTTTGATTGAAAAGACCACATTTTAGATAAAGATATATGAAACGACGACATGGCTCAAGAATCCACACAAATTTGAGTCAAAGTGTATTGTATCCATAGCATTTCATTTTTTTTTTTTTTGAAAAGAGCAATCCCTAGAGTTTTTTGCTCGTTCTTCTCAGGGAGGTCAGCGTAGTGAACGAGCAGTAGCTTAAATGTGACGTTTTCAAGTGTAAATTTATTTTACCTATGGAATAAATAATCTTTGACTTTGAAGATGGATTGCACAAGAGATTGGACAAGAAAACGTAGGCTCGAAATTCACGATTACTTTCAAAAGACAACGCCGGAGTCTGATCCACAATAAAGGGTATAACAAATATTACGTGTCCATTTAGTTACAACAAACACGGGATGCAAAGAAACAGGAAGCGAGGGTACTTTAATATCCTTGACGAGCTCCGTTATCGAGTGATCTACCTGCACATCGCTTTTCATGGTCTCGGGTTCAATGTAGAAAAGCCAACTTTTTGGGTCTGGGTGTTTGTGGTACTTTCGTTGTTTCCAATTTCCATAACACAAGTACTTTAGTTATTTGGGACCAGAACAACGTATGTGATTTTGTCCGGTATATACGACGTACTTATTCCTTTCTTGTACGTTTGGGGCACGCTGGGCAATAATCGGCGAGAACAGTCGGTGTCCCAAGATATCTGACCCCTAACAGACCTTTTGATTGAACAGATCTTACACGTCCAACAAAAATGTGTTAAAGATATTGTAACTTTACACTCTGAATGCGTGTAATCTCTTCTTTTGTAGGATATTTAGGTATATATTCAACTAGTAGGTATAATTCAGATAACACAAATAAAATACAAAAAAAGTATTTATCCGGTCGAGTGTCTTTTTGTTCTAAACATTGGTAAGGTAGTGGAACAAATCATGGACGGTTTAAGGATTTATTTTTTGGTTTACTCTGTGGAACTCGAGGAGAGGTTTAATTGATTAAAAAGTCTTCAAATAATGATTAAAAGTGCTGTGATCAGTCAATTGAGCGAAGAAAACATTGTTATTCGAGAAAAAGTAGATCCTGTTTAAGAATCCCATGTGGACAGCCCAATTTCCAATTATGGACACCCCGTCATGGACGGTTTCCAATCACGAACACCTAAACATGAACGATAAACTATTTAGCAAAATTAACAAAGTCAGTGTTAAAAAAAGAGATCTTGCATGGTACTTGTACTCATTTCTAAACGAATGGTGTGACGTTTCATACGACCCATTTGGGTAACAACGGGTGGTCATTCGCTTCAGTGCCATGTCTATGGACGACAAGGGACGGACACTGTTGTCCATTACTGTGTAGACTTAAAATAATGTAACAAGTTATAAACTAAATTAAAAGTCTGGCTTTATAAAGACTGTAAACACAAGTAAAGCTTTTTAATGGTATAATCCGATTATGAACAAAAGTATCCATGATTGAGTAAACGGCTAAATGAGGTCCAGTAATAAACACTTCAAATTCTTTTACGGTTATGTTTTCTTTATATGCTTAAAACAACACCAGAACACAAAATAACACACACTCTTAAATACCACATTCAACGATGATTATAAAAATTATGCTCTAAGATAAAAGCGTACATTGTAAGAATTCCATCGTCTTATTTCGAGTCGCGATAATGGCGAATTAAGATGGCCGCCAGCTGTCAAAATTGAACTGACGTCTTCCATTTTCAAAATGAAAAAAAAAAAATTCGTTTCTTTATTGTTGGCTTATGTTCATAATTGGTGCACTGTCCATCATCTTAAGC